TGTTGGTAAAAATCATAAAACAACTAATTGAGCCTTTAATTTAAGTAAATTCATTTAATATCAAACCGTTTATCCATACTCATCATTACAAATTTTTCAAAATTAATCTATGAAGACAATAACTCATATAACATTATGATTTCATATACAAGTGGGCAATAACAATAATTTTTTTTTTCCTACTTACTGGAACCTTTGGGGGTCTATAGGGATATTCCCCTACTCATGAACCCAATATCCAGATTCTGTCAATTGATCTGGTCGTCCCCATAACCCGTCCGGTAATGGGCGCCAAACACACCATCACCTCAATACCTTATCCAACATGAGGGTGAACTATATCTCTCAAACCCTTCTGATATAGGACTTCTTAGTCTCGTCCGACTGAGGTGGTGTCCACATTATGGCTCCCTATATACCGGGTCCGTCCACCCTTTTCCAGGATATCTAGTACGCCTTACTTACATAGATTCACACCATGAACCGATTACTAGTTACATACCAATATCTAATATTTACAAATCAATAGTAAGTCATGCAATAAGCAATACGTACATCAAGAAACATAATTGAGACATTTATTGTAAAAACAACCAACAAATGGAGGATATGCAGTGAGGTAAACCAAATAACTGAGAAGCAATTGAGACTAACAATTTAATACACACAATATAATAATATGTATTTTAAGCAGTACAGAAAAAATAAATAGTAAACTAGGACAAATTAGAACTAATCAGTTTCGGCTCCATTAGTGATCTGTAATTATTCTTAGAGTTTTTTAATTTTTATAAAATACAGTATTATCAATTATTAAGCTTTAATTTACTGTAATAGGAAAAAATGTGAAGGATTCTCACCCCAGATCAGTGTTTGAAACTTCGTATTATCTACTGCGTATCCTAACGATCCCCAGATTTTTTGAATTTTTTCTGTGAAATTTAAAAAACTCATTAAGTATCCAAAATACACCAAAAAGCCAAAATAAGTATTTTAAAACTTTTTTCAATAAATCTTAGGGTTCCGGTACGACGGTGGTTCGCCTCACCCTGACCGATTTTGACAAGTTTAAGCTGATTTTAGTCGTTTTTATGCGTAAACCTGCAAAAAAAATGGGTTAGGAAGCCTCGGTAGGCCAAAAAAGGCATCAAAACCTACCGGCGGGGGGGTCTCTAGGTGCGGCGGCTTTGCTGGTTCTCCTTCATGGCTGGGGTTCCTCTTCGGCTAACTTGCACCATAAAAAGACGGTGAATACGGCGATCAAAAAATTGCATGAAACAGAAAACGAAAAAGGGGTCCTCGGAGAAGGTTTCAGGTTTTGGCCGCGGTAGCTCAGCCGAGCTTTGCCCCAGGTTTTTGGCTTATCCATCGATCATTTGCCTCGGATAAAAGTATAGGAAGGCTCGGGATTGATTTTCGAGCGGAAATGGGAAAAAATACCTATTTTGGCGTCGGTGGTGACTCCGGTGCGGCGGTGACGGTGGTCGGCCTCTTTCTCCGACGTCTGCTTCTTTCCCCGGCTGCCCTTCTTCTTCTTCTCTGGTCACCCTTTTATCGGCTAGAGTTTTGATTCCCTATGAATAGGAGTTTAAATACTCCTCTTTATTCGATCCAAGCCGTTCGTTTGAGTCGACGTGGAGAGAAGAACCCGTTCGATGATTTTTCATTTAGGCTAATTACGTAGACGAATCTGCACTATCCCATCGTAATCAACTCCATCCATGCGATCACGCCTGTAAACCAAAATGCAT